ATTTTCAACAACTATTTCCATAATTTTGCCACCGTTTGATAAACTGGCGACAAGCTCCTCGCCCAGTTCTCGAAGAGCACAGCTGGCGAACGGGCGCACCAATGGGACAATAAAATATATCCAAATCCAAATCCAAAGCACACATAATTATCTACCTGTAAAGGTAATAGACAAATATTTGTGTAGGCAGGTTATTAATTGGGCCAAAACAAATCGAAGCTAAGGTCAATAAAATTTCATTCGCTGACGCCATTCCGAGAACATGAGGCGACTCTTGCTGCTGCTGCTCGGACTTGCGGTTAATCCGACTTCCGCCAAATCGGAGACGGCTTTGAGTAAGGATTCGGGCGGTATAATAATCTGATATACTGATAAATACCTTTGCCAGGCTATGAGAAGGCGCGTCAGGCGGTGCTCAGTGCCGAGGAGCAGCTCATGACCGGCGGCCGGACCAGTCTGAGCCCACAGGAGTCCCAGGTGGACGATCTCTTCATGCAGTACAAGCTGGGCGAGCTGGCGCAGGGATTTCGCAATGCCGAACAGAATGCGGCTGCGATGCATTTCTTTAAGGCCAAGCCGCTGATCGATCGCAGTGCGATCTTTAGGTTCCTGCAGCAGATGCCCAAGGGAGCTGTGCTCCATATGCATAACACCGCGGCGGTCAGCTCCAAGTGGGTGCTGCAGAATATGTCCTATATGCCCGGAATGATGCGCTGCACGGATGCCGCCGGACGCAGCCGATTGAGCTTCCGGCGCGCCGTCAAGGAGCACGGCTGCACATCGCAGTATGTCTACGTGGCGGACGAGAGGCGCAGCTCCATCGATCCGGCGCTGTACGATGAGAATTTCGAGCGACTCGTCAATCTATATACGCCCGTGCCGGAGCGTGAGTTCCAACTCGAAGTGGACACTTTTCCACAATAACTAACTAGGCATATTTCTCTTGCAGTCGAGTATCCGACAATAACCGCCGTTTGGAACCGATTCCAGGGCATGTTCGATACCCTAACGGAAGCTATTTATTACCTGCCCGCCTATCGGGCCTATCACTGGCAGCTGCTGGAGGAGCTCTACAACGACAATGTCATGTACGCGGAGCTGCGCATCAGCCTGAGAGAGGTGAGAGCCAAACCGGCTTACTTATTCCTCTCCTGACCATGCCCCCTCTCCTTTGTCTCCCCGCAGCTCTACGACGCCAGCGGACGCACGTTTCCGCGGGAGCAGGCGGTGCGGGAGCTGCAGTTGCTGAACGAGAAATTTGTGCGCCTGCATCCCAATTTCGTGGGCATCAAGGTCATCTATGCCGTGTGGCGCGGCGCAGATGTGGATCGGATGCGCCAGAATGTCAAGGAGTTCAAAGTGTTGCAGTAGGCGTGGCTGCTCCAAGTCTTTTGGCCAATCTTAACTCCCAGCTGTTCTCTTGCAGGGAGACCTTTCCGCAGTTTGTGATCGGCTTCGATCTGGTCGGCCAGGAGGACAAGGGCAAGCCCATATACGAGCAGCTGACGGCGTTGAAGGATCTGCCGCCCGGCACACGTTTGTTTCTGCACGCGGGCGAAACAAGTGAGTCCTTGACGAGCACCCCTAGAGGAAGTAATTCCAAGTGATCCTTACAGATTGGTATAGTGCCTCGACGGATATCAATATGCTGGACGCCCTGCTGCTCAATACCACACGCATTGGGCACGCCTTCGCTCTGGTCAAGCACCCGATTCTGATGAATGCCGTGAAAACGCGACAGATTGCCGTGGAGCTGAATCCCATCTCGAATCAGGTGCTGCATTTGGTCTCGGATATGCGCAACCATCCGGGTGCACAGTATCTGGCGCTGGATGTGCCCGTTGTCGTGTGCAATGATGATCCCGGCTTCTGGAACGCCAAAGGCCTCAGCTATGACTTCTACTATGCCATCATGAGCATGGCGCCCAACAATGCCGGAATTCGTGTACTAAAAACTCTCGTCTTCAACTCAATACGCTACTCGGCGCTCACGGAAAAGGAGCAGCAACGGGCGTACCAGTTGCTCGAGCACAGCTGGTCGCGTTTTATGGACAAGGTGCTGCAAGGCAAGGTATTCTAAAAGGTGCTTATAAAGATTAATAAATCTGCGACATGGTTTGTGATAGCTAACAAGATATTATATAATTCTTATAAGAATAGAAAGTGGCGCTAAAACTTTGCACATGCCTAGGTTTTAAATCTAGTTCCACGCCTGAATGACTAGGCCACTTGCCGAACTATATTAAATGAACTATATTTGCCTTAACACTATTATTCTATTCAATTATAGATACTTTTTTTTATAGATACATCGGATGACTCAGATTTTAGATCAAGTGTTAATTGGTTGGGCATAAAGAAGAGATCTTAAATACAATACACAAAATAATTTAAATTTTTGAATCAAAAGTTTAACAATGAAAAACTAAAGTTAAAGTCAAGTAATAATTTGGGCACAAAGGGGAGATCTTAAACACAATACACATAAATAATTTAAAATATTGAATCAAAAGTTGTACCATAAAAAATTTAAGTTAAAGTATTTTGCCGCATTATAATGCCTAGTTTTGCAAATCAGGTAATAATTTGTTGGACATAAGGAAGAGATCTTAAATACAATACACAGGAATAATTTAAAATATTGAATCAAATGTTTTACAATGAAAAACTAAAGTTAAAGTATTTTGCCGTAACATAAGATATCCCGCGCTTAATCATAATGTATAAAGGTTTTTGTAAATATTTAAGTCGCATGGCCATGTTGCTGCACGAAACGCTCGCAGCTCTCCAGGATTTGCGTGTACGCCGCATGAAAGCTGCCCATGCCCTGACTCTGCAAGCAAAAGATTATGATTAGCACCTTCAATAAGTGGATCTTTAGGTAATTACAAAATAGGGATCTTTGATAATCTCGTCTTCCTTGCGATTCAGATAGCTGCCCAGAAGAAGTATGCGGCATTTGGGCTGCGGCTGCAGCTGAGCTGCCATTTCCTGCAACTCCGCCATATTGCCTTCATCCATGCCGAATATGTAGTCAAAGCTGTAAAAGTCCTCCGGGGTTATCTGTGAGTTAAGACATGATGTTAGATGGTTATTTTTATAGATAGCTTCTATGCATACTATACGACTTAGATGTTGGGTCTTTAGGCCATGCTGTTGCAGCAAGTCTTGGGCGCGCCCTTGCGCCCGCAGCCCCACATTCCAATCGCGCAGTCCGGCGCTGTCCGTTTGCCAATTGTGCAGCTGTTTTTTATTAATTAAATGCCGCAATATCGCCTCAGCCATGGGCGAGCGACAGGTGTTGCCTGTTGAGATAAACATTTTAAATTGCTTGAAACCATCTTACATAATCATTTACAACTTACCTAAACACACAAATAAAACTTTCATGTCACAAACGAGAATTTATACAACAAATTTCAAATAAATTACTAATTAAGTTAACAGTAAACAGATCAAATACTGCTCAACACTTAACGAAATGGTGAATGTTTAGCAAAAACAGAGCGAAATCCTATTTATTGCGGCGAGCTGAGAGTATTTCACCACAATGAGTAACAATACTATGTAAACATTACCTACACACACACATAAGCCAACCGGTTCGCACACTCATTTTAATTGCAATTTAATCATTTTATAAATCACAATGTACAACAACATTTAACTTAGATTACTTTTGCAGTCGCTGCTTTACAAACGCTTCACAAGCTACCACACACTGCTGATAGGCCGTCTCGAAGCCCTCGGCGCCACTTTGCTGCAAACGAAACAGAATAACTGTAACTGAAACTGCAAGCAATTGACAATAAACTTACATAATAGGGATCTTCAATAATGCGGTCCTTTTCGCTCAGCCCAAAATCGCCAAGCATAAGCAGCTCCGCCTTGGAGCCCTTCGGCGCCAGATTGCGCAGCTGGCTCATGTTGTCCTCATCCATGCCAAATATGTAGTCAAAATCGGTGAAATCCTGCTTTTTAATCTGACGCACAATGTGCGTGCTTTTAAGGCCATGATTCTTAAGTGTGCTCAATGCACGCGGATCTGCGCGATTTCCCACATGCCATGATCCAAGCGCGGCGCTGTCCACAACAACACCTTCGATTTTCGCCTTGGCCAAGGTGTCAACCATAACTACCTCGGCGATGGGCGAGCGGCAGATGTTGCCTATAAACAGTAAAATCGATTAATAAGTCGAGCCAGTTGTGCTTTAAAACTAATTTAATACCCAGGCAAATCATTAATATTTTTTGCACCATATTAAAACTGATAAGTAATTTTTATGTTTTTATGTTTATGCCGGTCAAACTATCAGCTGCCATTTGCCAACACTGGTACACTGACACAAGTTGGCAGCTCTACACCGCAACAGCTGTTGTTAGCTCTGCAATGGTGCCAGACAGTTAAATGCGGATATTAATACTGTCGTGACGCGCGTTTTAAAAGCAGCTTCTTAATTTGCTTTCTGGCTCTGAACCATGTTCAGAATATAATCAAACTTTTCGGTCGAATTCGGGATGTTACTCGCGGATTAGTTATTATATCTGCAAATTACGCGGCTTAGGCGAGTGCTGTTTATTTTTATAACAAACTAGCAATATAAACTAAGCTAACGGTATGGTGAATTTGAAGCGAAATTATGTTTGTGGCGGCAAGCTGACAGTAGTTCACCAGAGTAATTCGCTTCTGATGTCGGATTGAGTGAAAACTATACTAATGCAAACCGTTTCGCACACTTTTTTAAATTTTTTAAATTAACAAAATTTAATTAACATGCATTCGCTGCCGCACAAACGCATTACAAGCTTCCACACATTGTTGATAGGCCTTTTCAACGGTTCGAGGGCGGCGCTGTCCACGAAAACGGTTAGTTTGCAAATTCGCCTTTGCCAAGCTGTTCACCATAACAACGGAAGAGGTTAGCATTTAACAGTGGTATTGATTAACAAATCGTGGAACATGTGTATTCAATTATTTTATTGCCCAAACAAATGATTAATATATTTTTAACCATGCTAAAATTTATTTGTACGCCAAAGTTTATGTTATGCGATTTAAATTGTCAGCTGTCATTGCCAACACTGGCGAACAAGTAAACAAGCTGGCGGGTAACATCGCAACAGCTGTTGTTAACCCTGCAATGGTGCCCGACAGTTGAATTCTATGTTATAATTTCGTCGTGACGCGCTTGTTTTAAAAAATTACCGCAAGCGTGCGCGCACTGCTCGTAAATCTTCTGAAACGGCTCCTCGCCCATCTCCTACAAGGGATAATAATATGTATAAATAATGAAGTGAGAGAGATTTACCGCAATTTACGTAGTATGGATCCTCGATGATGCGTTCATTCGGCTTGAGGCCAAACAAAAAGTCGCCCAGCATCAGAAGCTGCGACTTGGCATAGTAGGGCTGCAGCAGCTTCAAGGAGGCCAAAATGCTCTGATCCATGCCCAGTATATAGTCGAACTTCTCGAAATCCTCCGGCGTTAGCCGACGCGCACAGCTGTGATAGTTGATATTGTGCTGCCGGAGCACGCTCAAGGCCCGGTCATCCGGCCGGGCGCCCAGATGCCAGGCCTCAATCGCGGCGCTGTCCACGCGCCAATTCGAATGGAGATTATCCTTCACGATAATGTCACGCAACACGGCCTCTGCGATGGGTGAGCGACAGATATTATCTGAGGGGGTTTTTTTAATATATTTTTATTTTAATTTTAATATTATATATTATTTCTATATCTCACCCACGCAAACCATCAAAACGTATTTGGTTTTGCGCGCTTTATTGCTCATTGTCTGAAATTGATTTGCTTTTTTTGTACGGGTTTCTAAGTTTCTTCAAGGCAAGAATTTACAGATTTTTCTATTTACAAATATTGTGTAAACTTGTTTGTTTTCTGTTTACAAACGAAATTTGTGTAAATGTTAAATGACAGGCAAACTAGTTGGGACCGAGTTAAAAAAAGGAAATCCTCTTGACATTTAGGTGCTCCATAAAAAGAACCGAAAGAGAAGAGGAAATTTGGCAGTGTATATCCGAGTCAGGCACACCCGACTACAACATCTAACTCGCTTATGCATGGAGTAGAGGCCGCTCCAGAGACTTACATTGCTTAGGGATATAAACACTTTAAAGTATTTCGGATATAAACTAAACATTCAGCGAGATTTCAAGTCCGTGTCTGCGCCTGCGAGGTGTTAATCTAAACACAAAGTATTTTTATAGCTCTGTCAAGTGCTGAAACTTAGCACATCTCGCACTTCCGGCCGGAAGTAGTACTATTTGCGCAAGTCGAACGAGTTGAGCTCTTAACGTTTAATTAAAGTTCACTTGGCGAGTTGGCTAAATGCAGGAACATTTCCATGGCCAAAAGTTGCGTCGAGCTGTGGCCCCATGAATATGCAGGAGCCTTCGCCTGGCAGGACCTCGCAGGACCTCGAAGGACCTGTCACAGCGCTGCGGCAGATGCACAAATTTTTAATGACTTTTATGGTGACGGCAGCGTCCACAACTTTGCCAACACTCGTGGGGCCAGGCTGGGGGAGGGGGCGGGGTCAGCTGGGGGTCAAAGCGCAAGCTGCTCAGGTTTGAGTTTGTGGCTCGCATCTCGAGATGAAAACTAAGTTTTATGCAAATTACACATAACAAAAAGATAAACAAAAACGCCAGACCTGACGAGTTGCTCAAGCTCTACGTTTTTGGGGGGCGGGGGGCGGTGGGCGTGGCGACTGCATCAAAAGTGAGCTTGTCTTGGCGCAGACAACAACAGCTCGACTCATGCAAATTACCAGGCGAGGCGTTGCTGCAGTGCGTCCTCGGCAATTGACAATTGTTCAAAATGCAAATGGAAATGCAGAGACACATGCGACAACAAGACTACAAGCTGTAAAAGTGCCTAAATGGGGAGTGCCTGACTAGGCTATACCCTGTCGAAGAATCTTTTTACAGATACATCTATACACACATACGCGGACACATGCAGTGCCTCTTCTTTTCCACACTCTAGTAAAATGTTTGCTTGAATAACTTCGGTATTTATTGTCCGATCTTTAAGCAATTTTTAGAGCTTGCATATGTGTACATCCAAAAAGTCAATTATGCTATATAGTATACAAAACTCTAAAACAAAATGTCATGTCTCTGGCTCGTTAGAAAACCTTAGTTGAAAATCGATGATTATCGATTTCTTGGAAACGATAGCTCGACGATTGTATACAAAAGGCTACATACTAAACTGTGTGTCTCTGATTCTGTTCTAGAGAATAGATAACCGAAGCTGAAAACCGATAATTATCGATTTCGTTTAAGTTATCGATAATTGTTTACAAAAGCCTACATAGTAAACGTGGTGTTTTTGGCTCGTTTACGCTGTGAGATATGGTTGCAGAACCTAAGCTGAAAATCGATACTTATCGATTTGGTGGAAACGTGCCAAGTTATCGGGGATTGTATACAAAAGCTTACATAGTAAACCTGTTGTCTCTGACTCGGTTAAGCTGAGAGACAAGTTCAACAAGCTCAAAATCGATACTTATCGATTGCGTGGAAACGCGCCAAGTTATCGATGATTGCGCGGGAATAAGATCAGCCTTATTTAAAGTCTCCAGTTCTTATACGCTCTGAGATCGATGCGTGGTTGGGTCGTAGATACCTTCCGCTGCCTGTGGCATATGTATATACTCCTCTTGACATTTTTCATGGGTACAGGGTATCACAGCAACAACAACAACAACTCATGCATATGCGTTGAGCGTTATGTTTAGAGGCGTTGACATTGCCAGGAGGTTGACAAACGAGAAGGTCTGCTTCAGATAAGATAAAACGGACAGCATTATCAACAGTCAGTGCAAATACGAGTGTACCGACAACGGCAACATTTTCAAGTGCAAATGAGGCGGCAAACAGATAAAAGATGAGAATACCATATGCAAACTAGACAATTATGAGGCAGATGGACAAAATGCCAACAAATATGGCCGTAGGGCAGCCATTTTGCAGATGAAAAGCGGAAAAGCGGAAAGGCAGAAAAGCTGCCAGACAGACAAATGTCTTGCCAAATGTCTATCTATCCGGCTGTCTATCTATCTGTCTGACTGTCTGACTGTATCTTTATCTCTATGTAGCTTCATCAAATATTTAGCGCCAGGCATTGTACATATTGTAAAATGTAAATACGAAACGGACGTCGAAGTGGTGGAGTGTATCTGTATCTGTATCTGTGTGTGCGTGTCTCTGTGTAAATACAAACTACCCTGTGCTGCTCTTTACGGGGGAGGCGCGGCTGCCGGTGTGGGTGTGCGGCAGTGCCAACGACCAGCACAGCGCACAAAAACAAAAACCATCGCCAGCCAAAAAGCCGGCAACAACAAGCACCAGCAACAAGCCCAAAAGTTGCCAGCAACAATGTTGCCAGCAACAATGCTGCTGGCGGCCGCGTTCAGGTGCGGTTTGAGCTAGTAGGGGGTTACATGTTGTTCAATAATATATTCATATATTCAATAAATATATGTATTTTTTTTTATTAAAAAAAAAAAAGAATATTTTAAGTAAATTTCTAAAATAATAAAAAATATAAATTAAAATTTTTAGATTTTTACCTATAATAAGACTCAATTCAAAGCTACATTTTATTAGTGGAATTTAGCTGTCTTAGGCAAATTAAAATGCCCTTTTCTTATTAAAAATATAGAATTTGACAACTAGAAAACAACAATTATAACTCAATTTTGACCTTAGCCATTTAAAGAACTATTATTAGTTGTCTTAACATACAAGTAAAACGAAGTTAATTTTGAAAAAAACATGTTTTACCAAATATTTAAGTGCACTTGATAAAAATATTCGAGTGGCTTGCAGATTTCTTAATACTTTAATTTAGAAAGTATAAAACCTTCCCTTCTTCATTCATTTAAATGAAAAATCAACTTGTAAATATTGATTCTCATTGATTTAAATTTATTTTAAAGAACTAAAAAAAATATTCATAGAAAAAAATTTAACTTTAAATATCTTTAAAGAAACTATTGATTAACATCGAAGATCTCTTAAACTGCTTTTAAATGTTAAGTACAACAATAATATCAAGTACTAGCAATGAATAGGTAGCTCACTTATGTGTACAATAAAAATGCTTAACCCAAAAATATTCGCTGGAAATAACAGTAACAGCATGTGCTGTAAATACACACACACGCATACATATGGGCGCAGTGCAAGCAAGTCCGCTCCTGTGTGTGTGTGTGGCCTGGCTAGGGCAGAAGTGCATGTGTTTGCGTGCATTTATCTCGTTTCGACTTGTTATGCTGCGACGCCAGCTGCGACCGATGCGGCGACAGCGACCGATGCAGCGACTGCGACTGCGACTGCGAAGCGACAGCGTTCACAGAAACTTGTTTTCAATGTAGTTGGGTTTAGTTTACTTTGAGACGGCAACGCAGGTGGACGTGTGCGCTCGACAAACCGGCAAAGCGAACGTGAGCAGCGCGACGCGAACGAACAAACGAAACGTAGCGCGTTTTTAAAAATACAAACACACGCACACATGCAAATAAAAAAAAACAAATAAGCGGCAGCAGCGACAACAACAAAAAGTGAAGCAGCGTTCGGTGTTTATGACGCGGCGGTACGCGTCAGGTAGTTTCTGCCTCAACTTCGATATGATTATTGCTGTTGTTCTGCGTTATTTTTTTTTGTAAATTATTCTAACAACGAAAATCAACAAGCGTGTAAATGCTGCTAAGCTTGTGCTTAGATAAACAGATAAACAGCGCGATTCTCGGTAAAAGAAAGTGGCCAACCGCAGCTTCCTAGAGTGCAAACAAAAAGAAGAGAAGAAGAAAAGAAAACGTGAAAATAACCGACTAACGCATACCCTTGGCTTACTCATCCAAGGAGCAACGACCAATAGCGACATTTTCACTGCAATTTGCTGTCTCGCTCGCACCCATTCAGCATAAACGATATCAAAACCAGTATCTGAGCAAATGTATCTGTAAGATACAACGCCAGCTCCAGCGCATATTGGAATTTACTTAAAGCGTATGCGACGCACGCACACACACACACACGCACACACATAAACAACAGGCAAATATACGGGGCGCAGCTCTGGTCTATTGGATTTGTACTTGTTTTGTAGGTAAGTGTACGCACAAGGCGGCGCCTTTTTCCTAGAAACTAGACACTGCCCCTTGCCGGGTTTTTCCACCCTCGATCGCCGCTAATGAAGCTGACCTGCTACAGCAGCTACCTGTGTGACCCCTGTCTAAATAGGCTCAACCTGACCGACCGCGCTTTCCCGATTTCACTGCGTATTGAAATGCTATTTATAAATCTGAAGATCGTGGTCCAGCTCCACCCGCCGCTGTCGCCCCCCCTCTCTCCTCTCCCCTGTCAGCTCCAGGTATTCAGCTGCCACACATCGCAGGCCTTACGCTTTGTGCGTTTCGTTAGCCACAGACAAGTCAAGACTGGAGTCGAAGCCGGTTTTCGACTTGGCCAACAACAACAAAAACATCAATTCAATTTCTACTCGCTGAGTGAGTTTTGCTGCGATGAAGAAGAACCTCAGCCACAGGCACAGCCTCTGCCTCTGCTTCTGCCTCTGCCACATTGGAGCAGCATCGATGAGTCTTCAGCCTCAGCCTCAGCTTCAGCTTTGTGGCATCTCTTTCTTATACTCTTATAGGGGGAATTATAGTTATCTCAAGAAATGTGTAACGCTTGGATGAAAACAACTCCCACACCATAAATTATACTATATATAATCATGATCAGAATCAACTGCCTAGGCGATATATATATATCAAAGCTAACGAGACTCTCGGTTTTAAAATATCGTCTTGATAAATTTTGCAGAGTCCGGATCGTATTACTATATCAAAAAGCTGCCATACGAATATGGCAGGAATAGG